AATATTTTTTCTTCATGTCTTTCTTGATCGTGTGTACGAATTTCTAAATTTTTTCTTTCTTCATAAGTCTTCCGTTGATCGTGTGTGCAAAGTTCAAAAAAGATTTTTTATTTTGACTTTGAAATATTTTCAAAATGTTTTGGACTTTGAAAAATTCTGAAGCTTTTTCCACTTAGAAATATTTCATGGTATTGCAAACTTTGTAATATTTTCAAACGGTTTTGACTTTGAAAAATTCAGAGGATTTTTGTACTTAGAAATATTTCATGGTATTTCAAACTTAGTAATATTTTCAAACGGTTTTGACTTTGAAAAATTCAGAAGATATTCGTACTTAGAAATATTTCGTGGTATTTCAAACTTAGTAATATTTACAAACTGTTTTGACTTTAAAAAATTGTAACCTATAGGGTCGTTGTGTGGGCCCCCTATTTGACCTATAATTATATCCACTGGTAGGGTAAACTAGTAACCGGTAATTTAATACCTGGTGCAATGCGAATAGTATGGATCAATATTAAGAGGTAATATTGGGTCTTGTTGTAAAACCAAATATTGACATCGAATTTTTTTTTACAATTTCTTGATTTTAGGGACATTTATTTGTCAAACTCCTTTTGTTGAAAACTCTTTCGGGAACAAGTTCTATTCGAGGGGAATAGGAAACAAATTCTCCCCCAGTGGGTAAAGAGACTACTTTCGGAGTGAAATTGGAATTTTTCTTAGTCTCGCAATGTGCGCCAAAACGACAGTGTTCTGCGGCAGTGTCAAAAAGACAAGCAGAATTAAAAGAAAAATTTCGTCGAAAAGATGGAGGGTATGCGTGAAGTGAAGGCTGTTATTCGAGAGAAAACAATTTATGTCGAAAATGAACTTTGTGCTGATCTATATATGTGAGGCATAGTGAGCGTTTAGGAAACGCAGTGCTCTCGTCTCGACACAGATGGGGGTTGCCTCACTGAAAGCGACGGCCTCGGCTATTCAGTAGCAGCTCGGACAGCAGTTTGTAGCCGCGTGGAGGCTGAACAGTGATGGAATCATTTATGAGGTTTTCTGCAGTTTATTCCGGCGCAAGCACGACTCTCGACCACAGAGCACTCTCGCGTCCAGGCGTTGACGCCAAGAGGGACGCAGTGAGTCTCGAACCGACTAGAGGAAGAAGGCTCTAGTTCTATCAGTGCGAACGGGGACCCGGCCGTCATACCGGGTCCGACGCCCTTGCCAGCCGGGGGCACCACCACCACCTCTGAGATTCGAAGCGCCGCTTCGAACGCTCGCTGAACGTGAAAGTAACCTGGTTGGTCCTGCCAGTAGTCATATGCTTGTCTCAAAGAAGGAGGGAAAGACTTCTGAAGCCGCCGCGGTAACTCCAGCTCTAATAGCGTATATTAAAGTTGTTGCGGTTAAAAAGCTCATAGTTGGATCTTAGTTCCAGACGGGTGGTCCGCCTACCGGTGGTCACTGCCTGTTCTGAGCATTGCCGCCGAAATTGTCCGATGATCTTTACCGGTTGTCTTTCGGTTTCGGCAATTTTACTTTGAGAAAATTAGAGTGCTCAAAACATGCGTGACGCATGAATAATGGTGCATGGAATAATGGAATAGGACCTCGGTTCTATTTTGTTGGTTTTCGGAACACGAGGTAATGATTAAGAGGGACAGACGGGGGCATTCGTATTGCGACGCTAGAGGTGAAATTCTTAAGTGAGTTCGCTTATTTCTACTGCGAAAGCATTTGCCAAGAATGTTTCCATTAATCAAGAACGAAAGTTAGAGGTTGGAAGGCGATCAAATACCGCCTTAGTTCTAACCATAAACGATGCCAGCCACCGCTCCGGCTGTGTTCCTCAAATGATACGCCGGGCAGCTTCCGGGAAACCAAAGCTTTTGGGTTCCGGGGGGAGTATGGTTGCAAAGCTGAAACTTAAAGGAATTGACGGAAGGGCACTACTAGGAATAATGGTAATTATCTGCCTTGAACGAGGAATTCCCAGTAAGCACGAGTCATCAGCTCGTGTTGATTACGTCCCTGCCCTTTGTGCAAACCGCCCGTCGCAACATCCGATGGAATGATTTAGTGAGGTCCTCGGACTGGCACTCGGACTGACCTCCGGGTCGAGCCGGCGTGCCGGAAAGTAGATCGAACTTGGTCATTAAGAGGAAGTTAACGCGCAACAAGGTTTCCGTAGGTGAACCTGCGGAAGGACAATTAAAAATGGGTGCCAGTAGGCTCCGACATCGGCCTACACACGGGGATCCTTCACTTGCGATCCCCGCTTCGAACGCAACTGTCAGTGCCGTGTGGGCGTGCCAGTTTCCCGGCCCTTCGACCTGGGGAAGAGGGAGGTCCTTTGCAGGGCTAGGCTTGAAGAGGGGCTCGACGTGAGAGAGCTCCCCGCTCCGTTGGTGCCGACGCACTTTCCCCCTTCTCGGAGGAAAACTCTTGATTCGAAACTCTCGAACGCAAAACGGCTCTAGTCGGTCGAATCGAAAGTACCACTCCGAGCAGTGGATCACTCGGCCCACGGGTCGGTGAAGAACGCAGAACATGTGGTACAGTGTGGGTACATGTGGTGCTATGTGGGTACATTTGGTACATGTGGTTGGTACATTTTTGGTACATGTGGTTGGTCGAATGACCAGTGGTGCGAAGATACCATCTGTGGGATAATGACTGAAGGTCTCTAAGTCAGAATCCCGTCTAGTCACTGCAACGATGCCGTTCGCATCCGTCGCGTCGATAGGCAAAGTTAGCCAGGGCGTACATCCGCTCCTTGCGGGCGGACTACCCCGGCGACGAGGCCTGTTCGATTTGGAGCATCCTAGGGGGCGCCTAGACCGTGCGCTCTCGGCTCCGAGTCCAAACCCTGTGGGTAACTAAGACTCTTACCAAATCGTCTGTAGACGACTTAGGTACTAGTCTGGGTGTTGTACGTAGTAGAGCAGCTACCATACTGCGATTTATTGAGACTCGTCCTCTGACTGGAAGGTTTGTAAAGCTTCATTCAAGCTTTAAAACCTTTTTAAAAAAAATTTTTAAGACCTTATTTGATCGTGTGTGCGAATTTCGTACTTTGAATCGAGTCTTTCGAATCATTAAGTAAAAAAAAATTTATTTTAAAAGACGATATTTGATCGTGTGTGCGGATTTTGAACGTTATTTAATCGTGTGTGCGAATTTCGAACGGTATTTGATCGTGTGTGCGAATTTCGAACGGTATTTGATCGTGTGTGCGAATTTCGAACATAGACGCTTTTGTGGAGTTTTGGGGGCTTTTGAATAATTTTGATTTCAAAAAGCAGTTCCTTTCTTGCACAAGTAAGTAAAAAAAATTTATTTCGTACACACAAAAAAAATTTTAAAAAAAAATCGAGGTTTGCTTATAAAACACTTTAGTGTTGGCAATAAACGCGTTCTGTCCATCGCACTCATTGCAAAGCTTTTTTTTGGGGGGGGGCGCTTTGACATCACGCATTCTTGACTCGATATTTTTAGCATTATATAATTTTGAATAAATAGAAAGAAATTATTGATTAAATGCTTGGAATAGATCTTATTTAATGTAACTTTTTAATTCAATAAGTGTAAAACTTTAGTAAAGTATATATAAAGCTTGGACTTAAGGATCACCGAAGCGCATCATCGGGCGCGGTCAGTATTTGGGAGGGTGACCGTCTTTTTCCATTCATTGGAGATTTTCATTTTATTTATTAAATTAACTTAGGCAAGGATTATTATTTTATTGCTTCAAATTTGAATCTGTGTCATGTGCATTTTTAGCAACAAATATTGTTGTTATTTAATTGTTATTAAATGATAGAACTCACTGAAAGTACAGTCGAAAAGCATAGTTTTTAAAAGTGGGCGGGGCTACAGGACACATTTTGAAAAGAGCTGAAAACCTTTTTTTTTT